GCTCCGCAGCATGGTCATCTTCCCTAAGAAGTGTGAAGATCTGGCTAAGTTCATCTACTTATGACACCGCGCTGGGTTGCCAAAGGGCTACTCCAGGTCCACGGTGGTCAACTACACGGACACCTTTGCCCGACGGCTACCCATCGCAGCCATCCGCACCATGCTCGCCATGGCCGTCGCGCGTGGCATGGGCATCCAGCAGATGGACGTCAACACGGCCTTCCTCAACGCGCCCGTGGATCACGAGATCTACGTCCAGCCACCGGCCGTCGACGGCATCTTCTCCCCGAGTACAGTCCTGCGCCTCAAGCGCGGGCTGTATGGGCTGAAGCAGAGCCCGCGCCTGTGGAACCACACGCTGGACGCCTGGATGCGCGAGCAGGACTTCGTCGCCACAGCCACGGACGCCTGCATCTACCGCCGCACCTGCAAGGGTGGCAAAGTGATGTGGGTTGCCGTCTACGTGGACGACCTGCTCATCTTCGCCGACAGCGACAGCGACATGGCCGCGTTCAAGAAGGCCATCTCCAAGCGCTTCAAGATGAAGGACCTCGGCAGCCCAGACATATGTCTCGGCATCAAGGTGCGCCATGACCGCAAGGCCAGGACCGTCACCATGAGCCAGGAGCACTACCTGCGCAACGTGCTGGAGACCTTCGGCATGGCTGACTGCAAGCCTGTCGGCACGCCGCTCTGCACGGGCTACGTCGACAAACCAGCCGACAAGGAGGAGCCACTCCCGGACGTGCCGTTCCGCGAGTTGCTTGGCTCCCTCCTCTATGCTGCGACGATGACGCGCCCAGACATCTCGGCGGCTGTCTCCATCCTGTCTCGCCGCATGCAGCACTTCGGCATGGACCACTGGAAGGCTGCCAAGCACCTTCTTCGCTACATCAAGGGCACCTTGTCCTACACCATCAAGTACGCCGCCACTGGCGACGCCAGCAACGGCAGCACTGCCGACGGCGTGCTCTCAGCGTACTCGGATGCGTCCTTCGCCTCCGACGTTGACACGCGACGTTCCCGCACGGGCTTCGTCGTCTTCTGTTCCACGGGCCCCGTGTCCTGGAACTCCAAGCTGCAGGCCACTGTGGCCACAGCCTCCGCCGACGCGGAGTACATGGCTCTCGCAGCCACCGCACAGGAACTCATGTTCCTTCGCCAACTCCAGGAGGAGCTCACCGGCGCCGTCCTGTGCGAGCCCACGCTCGTCCACACGGACAACCAGCCGGCGCAGCGCGTTGCCGAACACGCCGCCTCGCACATGCGGCACATCCTCGTCAAGTACCACTACATCCGCGAGTGCGTCGACACCAAGAGGATTGTGCTGAGCTACCTCGCCACGGAGCACATGATCGCAGATCTCCTCACGAAGATCCTCCCTCGGCCCAAGACGGCTCAGTTCTGCACGATGCTGTTCGACCAGCGTCCTCTGCCAGGCTGCCAGCCACGGGCCCGTCCTCATTCGGGCCGGTCGCCACGTCCTTCGACTCCCGCGTCAGGACCTCTGACGGCGCGCACCACAGGACCAGCCTTCACTCGGGCAGCCTTCCAC